TTCTGAACTGATGTTGTTGGCACTTGGAGTTGTGAGTATCCCTGTGCAGTCTTTAAGAGGATTTTATACTGAATTTGAGTTAAGTGGATTTTATTCCACTTAACCGTGACATCTTTCAGTGGTGAATTTTGTTTCATCTATTGGGAAAATTATTTAAACTTTGAGAGCAAGTTTGAAAAACTCTTAGGAGTAAATAGAGTCAAGCTAAAAGGCTTTCATCCTTCTGTGAAGTTCAACTTTTCCTGGTACTTAGTTCTACGTTGGGTTGTCTGTATCAAAAAAAAAGAAGTTGTTTGTTGGGCTGTTACTCCAATTTATGTACTGTTATCCATCTCCCCCTCCTAACCAAAATAATAATAATAATAAAAAAAGGAGGTTCTGCTGTATTTGCATAGATGCTGCTTTTTTCTTCTTTCAAGGAGTCATCCTTCTAGTTGTGTGCATAATGCTTCAGTAGAATATTGTAAAAATAATGTGTGAGGTTTTTGTTGACCAGTCCCTTTCCTGGAAAAGGGTTCAGAAAGAGGAGAACATTTCTTTTTTGGGCAGAATAGTTGGTGATCACATTACTTCACTTTGGACTCTTGAGACATTTTAATGTTGATGTTAATTGTTTAATCCTTGTGTTAAGGAACTCTTTAGAGAGATCACAGGGTATCTAGTTGTGGCCTAATTTGGTATTGATATAACTTAGCCACGAGATACTGTGGTTGGAGAGGATGGGGGGATAAATAGTTATGATTGCTCTTGCTGAATAAGCACTACACAAGTCTTATATAGTGTGCTTGGTGGCAAATCAGAGGAATATTTTCTTATTAGCAAACCATATGCAATATCCATGAATTTTAGATGTTCATCGGGTCAAATGTTATGTTTCCAAATAAGTTTGATGATTTTGACATTTTCATGTTGCTTCCACAGACAAATACTTGTCATGTATCAAACCTGATTCCAGTTCCACACAGGGTGATGGATTTAGGTTTCCAAATGCAAGTGATAATGGGTTTGTTGACAACATGAGTCCTTTTGGGTATCAAGATCGTGTCTCACATTCTTTTGCATCAGAGCCTCCCAGAGTGTTGGATCCAAGGCTTGAGGTTTTTAAGAAGTCAGTGGGTTCAGTTGGCGCTCTAAGAGAACTAGTATGATTTTATAAGCTTGCTATGTTAGTGTACCTTATTTACCTCAGTTTTCTTTTGATGTCTTGGGATGTGCCATTTATTATTTTGATTCTTTCAGTGCGCAATTGAAGGACTTGGTTTGGCATTCCAAACTCAGCCTCAACTTTCAGCTAATCCGGGCCAGAAAAGTGAAATATACGCCCAGGTTACCCATTTACTTCCCTTTCTTCTTTGCTATTGCTGATTAATCGAAACATGCTTAGCTGTAGTGTTAGGAACTCTTATCATCTTTTCTGACTCATGGCTTAGATGCGATATACCATTTATTATTTTGAAATAATTGCAACCTTTTGCTTCATTCGCGGGATGGATCTAGGCCATCTTTTATCCTTTGCATTTAGTTCTCTCTCTCTAATAATCACTAAAGAAAAGATTTTATTAATCTTGAACAGCACTAAGATAAATCTTGAATATGTGTAACAAAAGTTTAAGAGATAGTCTCCCATTAGCATGTTTTCTGTATTTTTTTCAAATATTCCAGTATGCTACTAACATACACTATTGAACTTTAATTTGCTGATGGCTTCTGTTCTGTTCTACAAAATCTGCTTTCCTTCCTTTCCATGTTGTCCAGAGAATACAAACATGTATTGCTTTTCTATATCCTCTTTCTCTTCTTACTCTGGAGCCCCCAACCTCAGCCTCCTCTTTTTTATTTCTTCTCTTCTGTATATTGAAGGCCATCATTTTGGTTGGGAGGGGAGTTAGGCCCTGACCCCTTACTTAGAAGTCAGACCCCTTTATCTCCAGCTTCCAAATAGCTTCTTGGTCGGTCTTTGACATTGTCCATTTAACCTTGAAAACATTTCTGAAACTGTCTGTGTCACACTTGAATTTGACTGTTTTTCCTCTATTTCCCTCTCTCGTAGATAGCATCTGTTGATGATGAATAGCCCCTTTTTCTGCAGCTTGTCCTGTGTCAAGCAAACATCCATGCTCTGCGAGCTTAAAAAAACACTCTACCTTGTGCTGTACCACTTATCCAATATTTCTCCATTGCCAACTGTTCTGGTGCATTCTCTATTGTCAATGCTCTGTAGCAGGATTGTACCGTAAACTCACCTCTCTTGTCCTGCAACAAGAGAAGAACTTTGCATTCAGTTCTTTCTCTTGATAGGTTAAAACATTTAATGTTTAATCTGGTATTGAAGTTTCTGGAAAGCATTCTTTGCTAAACATCAAGTTCGATATTAGAAATTCATATAATGGTGGATGGTTGGTGGAGATTTGGTGTATAGTTTTGTTTGCAAAGTAGTGATTCTCATAGTTTCAAGAAACAAGTATGCACTTAAGATGGCAGAGTTATCATGTCTATTGAGCAACTATCTCTTGCCTTGCTGACATTGTGCGTACTTTTGTCTATTTGGTAATCATGCTGCAGGTGGAAATTGATGGCCAAGTATTTGGCAAAGGAATTGGTTCAACGTGGGATGATGCTAAAACACAGGTGCTTACTTTTAGAGCTTGCGTTTTAAATTCCTATCTTATCCCTTTTCTCTATGATTTAAAATTTTGGGCTGCACATTTGTTTCTCTAGGCTGCTGAAAGGGCTCTTGTTGCTCTGAAGTCTGAGCTGGCTCAATTTTCTCACAAGCGCCAGGGTTCTCCAAGGTAAGTGATTTCAGGCATTTCACTTTTGAAACTAAAGTAATGTAGTTTCCTCTATTTGGAAGGCAATTTTTTCCTCAGGCCACCTAGTAAACCTTATGAAACTCTTGTGTGTGTGTGTGTGGATTTGGGGTGGGGGGTATGCAGATTCTGATTTGTCTTTTTGCTGCCATCTGTTCCTAATTTATATTTTTTTGCCTCCTTCGCATCTTGTTATTTAAGGGTAAGCGGGTATTGGATTTCTGGTGAAGCCATTCTCTTTATTTTAGAGTTGTGTTCTCCATGGCTTTGTTGAGGCAAACCAGTATTAGCTTCTGATTGTTTACATGCATTTATTGTTGCTCTTTCATCCAGATCATTGCAGCAGGGATTTTCTAATAAAAGATTGAAACCAGAATATTCTCGGGGTGTGCAGCAGAGAGTACCATTGTCTGGTAGATTCCCGAAGAATACTTCCGCTATGCCATGAACTATGTATAAAGATTCTTGACCTCTGCTTGTACATCAACCCCATAGAAATTTTAACATGCATGGGAACATCTGCCGCTGTGATTTGTGAAGCCAATTGGGATCTATACTATGAATCGCTGTCCTGCTGTTTCAGCTAGACTATATCCAGTATGCACGCTCACAATAGAAGCACGTGTCTGGATTGATAGATCAAAATTGAATCACCTTTTGGGAGCCAGGCAGTTCAAATTTGTAAACTGTGGATGTCTTGCTATTTTCCGTGTGATTTTGGGACTTAGAGACTCAAAAAGCCACTTAGAGCCTGGAATGAGTTCACATCTTCATTCAAGATGGGCACCAAAAGCCGCATACTTCCGGGAGTTCTTCAGGCATTGAATACACTTTGGCCATGTCCAATGTGTTTTCCGGAGTACACTTCAATTTTGACGATTTCATAGTTAATTTAGGATATGATTTGAGACCTTTCGCTTTTGTGTTTTCTCTCGCATCTTTTAGATACCAAATAGGACGAGTGGAAAATTTTGTTAAGCTGTAATTAGCTTATTGTAGTCTATTTTTCCATTGTTTTTTGTATTCCCAGGGGGTACAATTTACTGTCCAAATGTAACCTTCTGCAATTGATTAATGCAATTTTTGGTTTTCAGCAATTGATCGTCTCTTTTTATTTTCCTACACACATCATCTTCACCCTCACTCAATATTTTTTACTTGCATATCGAGTAGGACATAGAGGGTGAGCAACTCCATCTTCAATTCCAAGGCTGTGGATTTGAGTCATCGAGTTCAATTTTCGTGATCTCCTTTCATGGACCAAATATAATTTTTAAAAAAATATTATGAAATTAAAAGACGGTTGGAGTGGTCTCTTTGTATTGTTTTTAATTTTCACAATATTCAAATGGAAGCATATTTGACTCATCGATTTTACTCGCTCTTTTAATATATTCTTAAAAATTTCATGATACTGCACAAATGAGTGTTTCATAGTTACTTGATCGTCAATTAGAATGAATTAAATATGTTGGAAATGGATTAATTAAAATGTCAACGTTTCATTTTTATTGAAAGGTGGATGAAAAAGGAAATAAAACTAGCCACATATTTAAAAAGGTAAATACCTTATACTAGCAAATGTGAAAAAAGAATCGTCATAGTAAGATAAAACTTGGTAAATTTTTCATAATAATGTATGACAATTCACAAAATAAATTTGAAAAATATTCTTAATAGAGGTACTTTTCTCTTCTATTTAATCTCTTTCAAATTCAAAGTTAACTATCTTTTTTTGGGGGGTCTTTCCCTTTCAATTCAAGATATATGCAAAAAGATTGAACAAAATTCATATATTTATCAAAAAGATTATCCTATATTTTAAGTAAAAATATAACCACAAATAAAACATTCTCAAGTCAACAAAATGTCCATCCAACTAATAATTTACCTTGCCATTCGTGAAAAAAATATATTATTTTTATTCTTAATTAGACGTTTTGAATTTGAGTTTTATCAATACAAAATTACTTTTGTTTAAAAGCGTTTTACTTTGAATATGAACTTTCGTACATATATTTAAATTTAGTCAGCTTCAATATGAGTATAGTGAGTATCAAACACCGTGGGAGAAACAAAAAATTAATACATATATTCTATTTTTTTTTACCAAAAATGAAGAAAAAAGTAAAACAGTAAGAAACATAAAATTCTCACACATATACATACAGAGATTCTCACATATATGTGTGCATATATATAGGTATAAGAGAGAAGGAAAATTCGAGAGATTTTGCAGACTGTAGAGAGAGAAAGAAGAGAGAAGAAGGGAAATGGCTGCATTTGATGCGTTCAGTATGGACGGTGAGGCACCGGCACCGGCGGCATCAACTCCGTTCGACGACGGAGACTATGATGGCTCTTACACCGCTTTCTCCAACGCCGATACGCCGCCGTTCCACGGCTCTGGAGGATTCGGTGGAGACTATGAGGAAGTGACGGTGGAACACGTATCTCATACCGTCGACAGTCCCGATCCCTACGGATACGGGTCAGATTCGTTTCCTAACCAAACCGATTCATTTGGAGCTTCTGGAGCTCCGATCTCGAATGGGAATGGTAAGCCCTACGATCTAGGTGAAGATACTGAGGGAATTTTCAGTTCCGATGGACCCGTTCTTCCCCCTCCGAATGAAATGCGTGAGGAAGGTTTTGCACTCCGCGAATGGCGAAGGTTTGTTCTACTCCGTTCCTATTTTTGCGAATTTATTTTGATTTAGTATATTACCAAAAAGAAGATATATTGAATTTAAGCTGTTCCTTAATATTTTAACTAAAATTGACAGATCTATTGCTTATTGTTAGTTACTGTAAATGGCAGATCATAGATAAGATCAGCTTTATTTCAAAGTTCCTAAGCTCTATAATGAATAATTTTTTTTGCATACTTCAATTTAATTCTGGAACTTTTTGATTTTTATTGTTAAATTTGCAGATCTATTGTTGATACTAATAGATCTGTTAGTTTGTATTTGCGCTCAATTTTAGGAGTTCCTGCGGTGTAAGACGCTGATCACTATGATCGCTTGGCAAAGAAAATCTGAATGTTGGAGGTCTTAACTTGTGGAGTACTTCGTTTCTATTTATCTTCTACTGGAGATGATTTATATCTTGAGATCAATTTCCGAAAACGCTATCAGTGTCGATTTTCTATTGCATTAATTGGTTCAAAACTACCACTTTGTGCCATGGGACAAAAATAATAAGCTTTTAGTGGGGTTCCCCTCCCCAAATAAGTTAGTTTTTAGTGCTAAAATTAAGTAAAGCTTGTGTCGAGACACTCATAACGCTTTTTGAGTACAACTAATTAGGTATTTTTAGGGCTAGTCTAATTCTTCTAGTATTGGTTTATGGATTGTCGTGCATAGGGAAAAATATTAAGAAGTTTCATAAGCTGGGAGAATGTATAAATTGTTTTCACATATCTTTGCTAATAGTTCTCACTTAGAAGTTAGAAGGATTGAACATTTTCATGTTTTTCTCTTTCCCCATTGTTGCCTCTCCTAAAAGCTGTCCAAACTCCAGTGCTGAACTATTTAATCATTGGACACCACAAGCAATGTTTTCTGGACTTCGAAAGATCAAATTATTTGTTTGAGGGAGTTGTATGAATAAAGAGAAAATTAGAAGCAAATTTTACTGGTTCTTGGATGAAATGATATAGAGTTCAGGATTAGGGGTTGAATCTCATCGATAATTGATGATTTGTTTTGATTTTCTACTAGTACTAAAAAATAGCGTATTCTTGAAAACTTACAAAAATATCATGCCATGTTTTGGTATAGGGATGGCAATGGGACAGGACGAGGGCAGGGCAAAGGTCTAATGGGGCGGGGTGGGTCAAAGCTTAAATTTTTAAAATTTTAAGTGGGGCAGGGGAAGGTTGTGTTTCACTGTTTTGCGCCTTTTGGCCCATTCTTTCATAAGAGCTTTGTTGGTGGTTTTTTGAGAGTTCGAGACATAATTGTGCAAGGTTAACAAATAAATTGGATGTTGTAGTATTAAAAGTTTGAGTCTCGTGTATGAGATTTCAGATCTGAATTTCCTCATAGTGGGTTTGTGGTAGTAGTGGTGTGATTATGGGACTAGATTTAGTATCATTTAAATTTATTTTATGTGATGCCTAACATAGTTGAATCATTTTCGTCAACAAATTAATTTTATGAATCATTTATGAAATTGACCACCTCTATTAGATGCTGCTCTTGCAATGTTATTAGATCATTAAGAAGCAATGGATGTTTATCAAACATGGTGATAAGAACACTGGCTTAATTTAGCAGAAATCGTGTTCAATGCTAACTTTCACTGATGGGACATCACAAACAATAACACAATCCTCATCTTTTATGTTTTATTTATAAGAATATTCAATAGTATGCACTAATATAGATCCTTTGTCTTTTAAAATACAAACAGATTTTTTGTTGAAAATATTAGATAGGATACTTCCAAAAAAATGAAGTCTTAATAGTGAAATGGGACAGAGCGTGGTGGGGAAGGGCGGATCAAAATCTTAACAGGTCAAGCTGTACCCCACCTGCCCCATTTACATCCCTAGTGGCTTAATCATTATTGAGAGTAATTGATTTTGTACAACTCTTTTTTCCTTTGGTATTCACCATTTTTTTGGAATTGGGTTGAGGGCTTTAGCAAAATGGAATTAGGGTTAAGAGGTAGGGGCTGACATGGGGTGATGCAAAGCATTCCAATGGCAGAAGAGTATTTCCTTAAGGGGATTCTCCCTATCTAGACAATGAGTCGTTTTGTTTTTCTCAGATAAAATAAAAAAGAAGAAAATCAGAAGAATCTCATTACATCAGCACATGACTCTCTTTTTGGCCAGATTTTTTTGGACTCCTGTAGTTGAATGATGAATACTGAGTATATACATGTAGGGTGCCACATGAGTAACAATCTTTGAGGTTTATAGTTAGCATATGCTAGAACACATTAAGGATCGTTTGTGCAATATTCTTTAGGAATATTTGGTAGTGTGCTCGTAATATGTGTTGTTAAAATTTTCATTTGTTTTTTGGTTTGGGATGCAGGCAAAATGCTATCCGTCTTGAGGAGAAGGAGAAGAGAGAAAAGGAAATCAGAATCCAAATTATTGAGGAAGGTGAAGAATATAAGAAAGCATTCTATGAGAAAAGAAATCTCGGTATTGAGACCAACAAGACAACTAACCGCGAGAAAGAGAAGGTGAAGCTCTAGGGATTAATCAGCCTTTCTTACAAACTGGAGTTATATTTGATCCTCCCTACTCTTGCTTACAAGCTTTTATGGATCTCTAACTTTGACAAGTTCTTTCCTTTCCTCCCCTCCCCGTGACAGCTGTACTTGACTAGTCAAGAGAAGTTCCATAAAGAAGCTGACAAGCAATATTGGAAAGCCATAGCAGAGCTCATTCCCAAGGAGGTGCCCAGCATTGAGAAGAAGGGAAGGAAGAAGGATCAAGATAAGAAGCCATCCATCACAGTCGTCCAAGGGCCTAAACCTGGGAAACCTACCGATCTTTCAAGGATGCGCCACATACTGCTGAAGCTTAAGCACACCCCACCACCTCACATGATACCACCCCCTCCTGCTCCTGCCAAGGACGCCAAAGTTGGAAAGGATGGAAAAGACACCAAGGATGCCAAAGCTGGAAAGGATGGAAAAGACACCAAGAATGCTAAAGATACTGCTGCACCAAATGGAACTTCAGATGCACCTCCCAGTGATGCCAAAGTTACTATTCAGACATCCGAAGAACCTGCTGCTGCAGAATGATCGGCTTTTGGCCTAATTTCTTTAGTCTTTGATGTTGTAATGTGTTATCCTCTTACATAATAACTCTTTTTTCTCTATGAGTTTTGTTTCATTTACTATATTTTGTGTCATTCTACTACCTACTATTCTATTGGTTCGTGACAGACGATAGCTGCATTTTGTTGCATTGGATGTCTGAGTTTGTTTATTGTACTATTTAGGTCCTTTCTTTACTGGAGGTGAATTCATTATTTTCTTGTTTACAGAAACCTTATATTTCTTGAAAGTTGATTTGGTGGTGAAACACTCCGATCCTTTTGTAGCATAGTGTGTTGTAGACCTCTATCGTGGAGTTGCCTGCCACCTGTTATGTACTTTGGTCTTATTGGACAGTGCAATATTTTCTTTCTTTGATTCGTGTTTTTTTTTTTTGGGTGGGTGGGTGGGGCAGACTCGATAGTGTTCATATTGAAAAGATAGGAGCAACTATTAAAACGGAAAAATAAGTGAGTGTTTGGTATGGTGGAAAATATTTTTAAAAAACGTCTCGTAATTTTTTTTTATATATTTGATTGGTCAAAATATTTTAGAAATTTGGTTAGGAACATGTTTTTTGGCTGCAGTAGGAAATACTAAGTTCTTCAAGTGCAATTTTACCGTCTCCGAAGTCCGACCCCTCCCTGCACACGAACCCACCCTAACCCCTTGTCTCATCCCTTAATATTTGTCTAGATTATTGAATTTTCAATTATATTTTTGCTTATTTGTGAAATATCAAAAAGTACGTAAAAAAAAAACTAGAACAAAGTACATGAAAAAAGTCACAAAATATTTTTTGTAAAGAACAATAAATTTGAAAAACTAAATTTGGAAATCTTCAACAAAAAAAGCTATCCTTTTTTTTTGTTAAAAATCCACAATATACAAGTTTGCAAACTCAATCCTAGAAAATCTCAAGCAAACGTATCTTAAGCTGCAAACAATGTCGCAGGAAGAATGATTCAAGTGCCGGTCACCAAGGATGATTATCTAGGTGTCACCTGGGTGATTGTGATGTGTACAGAACTTTGTTGACTAGTAATGCATTCAGACATCTTCAATTTTGATCGCGTGCTGTCTTCAGAATCTTCGAAGAAACCAGGCGGTGTAAGTTCTTTCTCATTTAGCTGGATATCTCTTGAAAGCATCTCAATAACCTGGCTCATCATTGGTCTTCTGTTTGCATTTGCTTGTGTGCAAAAGAGAGCTATCTTTATGTACCTGATGACTTCTTTTTCCGGGAAATCATCCAGTTCTTCATCCACCAACTCCAATAGTTTTTCCTCTTGATAGAGCCGCCAGGACTGATGCAATAAATTGTACTTATTGTCATTTTGATCACTTGATATGGGGGAAAAAGGGTAAGGGAGAAATTGCATTGTTCTGAGATTCGATAACATGGACCAGAATATATGATTATTCGTTTGCAACACTCATTCTTGATGCTACACCAGGAAACAAATGTAATACTAAAAAGAAATTAAGGAACTTGAAAAATTTCACCCACCCATTCAAGAAGTGACCTCTTATCACCTTGCCAAATTCTGCTGCTGCTGCTCTTGCCACTAACTGCTTCCAGTATTAGGACCCCAAAACTGTAAACATCAGCCTTCATCGTTAATTGTCCGCCTAATACATATTCAGGTGCCAGATAGCCACTGCTTGGAAGAGAGAAGAAGTTTAGAAGTCAGATACTTGCGTACAGCAAATCTTTTGGAGGGTGCTTGGTATTACAGATTCAAGAATTTCAATAATTTAAAGCTGGTCCTTTTGAATCTGCTATTGATCCTACTTGACAAATATGCATACACAAGAGTAGGGAAAAAAGCAAGTTATCAGTCAGTGGTAGTGGTGAGTTCTAACATAGTCTTTTGACAGTTGAGCACTGTTAAAAGTTAAGACACAAAACACCGTGAACTTTAAGAAAAGAAATATAAGATGCATTCATTGTGCTTATATGCAAGCAGGGCTAATCATTTTATGCTCAATTTTGTGGAATCAACGCGTGAAGATAGTTGCAAATAGAACCAATATCCTGGATCCAATGATCATGACTATATTTAGACAAATTTTACTCAACTAGTTGTCTAAGTTCTTTTGTTTATCACTAAACTGTACACAGGTGCAGAGCACATAGCAGTAATGAAAACAGGGAAAAAATACTATTATTTTCTATCCAAACGAATTGTTTTATTATTTTTCTAACCAACGATGCTAAACGTAAACATAATTCTGTTGATGAAACAACTAGTATTGAAAACCACTCAGAAATACTTCTACAAGTTCTATAGACTATATATAACCAAAGTTATTACATTCTTTGCTTTCTTATAATATGTTTATCAATATAGATCATCAAGAAATTGATATTTTCAGATGCATGTATTCATATAACTGTTTACAAATGATTCCAAAGATGCGGAAAAGAAATAATTAGTCTACTATATTCTCTATTGTAGTTTTTTTTTTGTTGAGTCATCCTTTTTTGCATCTTTCAATAGTTCTTTTTGAGTTAACACACCTCCTATTAAGTTTATTTTCAAACTTTTTCTGTACTAGGGAAACTGGGTTTGTTCAACTTATGAAAGAAAGTTCAAGATTTGTGTGTTTATCATTGGTAGGACTGTGAATTTCTTACTTTTCAATGTTAGAACCCCATTTAATATAACAACCTTCAGGTGTGTAATTGGATAAACAGACACTTTGCTTTGTAAGTTCACGGGACGACAACATAATCTTCGACTGTCTAAGTATAAGTAGTTACATTTCAACAATTTTTATGTTCAGATGAATTATTTTTAGGATAGCAGCACTAACCACAAAAAATATATGGATTGACTTCTCACTTAATCATATATAAACGTGTACGATGATTACTTACTATAAATACCCAGCACCAAGTAGTTAAACATTTATTCACATGTTTTATTTACCAATTCTCTTTTTTGACTTCATGAAATACAAACTAATCATCTGCAGTGAAGAAACAAACTAACTATACCTCAATCCTGAACCAATTTCTAATGACTTCTCCATGTTCATACAGCTCCAATTCAGTCTCATTCACTCAGAAGACTCATCATTAGGCATAGTAGGGGCAAATATTGCTTCCGGGCCTAAACAACTTAGTTCTTTTTTCTGATTTTTCTGATTATATGAACTTGTCACCTGTCAAAGCTTCATGTTTACATTTTTACTTCATTGCATTCATTTCCAGACATTGTTTCCCACCCCTTTTTTTTTTAATCTTTAACTATTTGATTACACCCTAAAACCCAATGCAGCCAAAAAAAAAAGGTCCCTTTTTCAGCCATGCAAAATATAGAGAGATTCAACTACAGTTTCAGAGAAAGACGTACGTTGTTCCTGCTATCTTTGTGCTGATATGAGTGATGTTATCTGGGAAAAGTTTGGCAAGCCCAAAATCTCCAATTTTTGGTGTATAATCCTTGTCAAGAAGAATATTACTAGCTTTTATGTCCCTGTGCACTATATGTGGCACTAGTTCTTCATGTAGATATGCAAGACCTCGAGCGGTACCCAAGCAAATAGTAGTCCTTTTTTCCCATTCTAACTTAATACTAGTCCTTGAACCTGCAAAGAAAGATACCATTATCAGCCATTCCATAATTCTTAAGTTAATCCTTTATTTTACCAGAAGTTCGGCCATTACCAAACAGTGCTTGATCAAGGCTTCTATTTTCTAAATATTCATAGACCAAAATCCGGTTATTTCCATCAGCACAGCATCCAATTATCTCAACTAGATTTGGATGTTTGACATTTGATATTGTCTCAATTTCTGTCAAAAACTCCCGCAAACCCTGCTTTGATTCTGCTGCAAGTGTCTTCACTGCAACTTCTTTTCCTTGTTTTAGAGTTCCCTACAAATTGCTCTGGAGTTAAAAACCAGCACCAACAACCATATCTGATATCTATATCATTGTAACTAAAGTACAATTTTTCAGTTACTAAAGTCTTAACCTCAAAACCAATGCCAATTACCGTATTACGCAACTCTTTTAAAGAGGGGAGATAATAATGAAAATCTAATAACAAAATAAGAAGTTAGTAATGCAGATTTCCTGAGAATTTCAAAAATCTGCCTGCTACTGTAACTTAAACTAAACCTCAACACCCACGAATGTAACACTTTAAACAGCACTATGCAAAAGACACAAAAATAAGTTGTCAATGCATAAAACTTCTGCATGAAAGAGCATGAGATGTATTCGTTGAGTAGAGCTGTACGTACCTTGTATACTGTGCCAAAACCGCCTCGCCCTATTTTATTAATTTGATGGAAGTTATTGGTTGCTAATCTTAATTCATTAAATGAAAAATTCTTTGTGCTTGCAATGGAGTCACCTGCCAGGAATAAAAGATAGTTATGGTAAATGAAAATGCAGAATGGAGGTCAATTATCTTAATTGTTGTGCATAAATTGAATTTACTCAAGACAGCAAAACAGTTCTTTTGTATTGGCGTTACCTATGCCTAAGTTGAAGATGGTCTACAACTAAATGTGCAATGCATCTCCAATGGCATAAAGTTGCAAATAAGTCCTCTAAAAAACAGAAAACCACCCCAGTTCCCACTTACCTCCTGTATCTGTTGTATCATGGTGAACGAGATCATGACCCTTTTTCCGGGCGCCAAAGAAGCAACAACTCATGTCAATTTGCGGGTCTAAATCAGTTGATAGTGCCTCTTGATGAGTAAATTAAATGTTAGCCTTCACCACCAATACCCTGTTAAAACAAAGCAAAAAAAACTTCCTCCTTCAGCTTATTAAACTAATTATTAAGGCACAACAATATTTATTCACATTCCTTTCCTTAATAATAGCTGAAACAGCAATAAATAGCATCATTTGTATCTACTATCTGTACTATAAACAATTGTAAAAAAAAAAAAAAGGATCAAAATAAGTATGATTTTCAATATTGATTCAATAAAATTGGAGGAGTTTGAAAACACTATTATTAGGCTGCAGTTGAATGAAGGTTTGCCTACATATATTCTATTTAAAAAAAAACGTTAACACAAAGTCAAAAGGCAACGAATTTGATTGATTGATGTGTTAAACAGAGTATTGTCAAAAGCACATTTAAGCCCTGATGCGAGGCTCAAGAAAAACATATTGAACCTTCGCCAACGTACACCACTAAACAATTACAAATATTTCACTTTATTATTTTTTTATTTGCGCCTTTTATCATTAAAGTCCCATTGACTTTAGACCTTTTCTGCATTCTTCTTTTTTTGATACTACTGAACTATCTCCATTACTACAAAATTAAAATAGAGAAGAAAAAAAAGCTAGAAATTCCACAGGATTCATTAAAGTGTTATATCATATTGCAGCTAAGCTCCATTCAAATAATTAATCTAATTCTATAAAATATAAGAACCTGCCTTGGAGGGGAACAACAGCTGAAAACGCCTGCAAATACCCCGTAGGCTGTGGAGCAAAAGGAGGGACTGACGTCTAATTAGCTAGTTGGTGAGGCAATAGCTTGATGATCAGCCACACTGAGACTGAGACACGGGCACACGGCCCAGACGTACCTTGAAATTGGAAAAGCAGAGACCAGAGAGAAAGAAGAAGAATAGAGATTTCAGTGTGGAAAGAAAATGGAGAATTAAGAGAATAAGAATAAGAGGAATCGGTTTTATTGGTAAGCTGGTGGAGAAGAAGAAGAAGGAAAAGTAGAAGAGAGTCGTCATAGTTGGCTATTTCACTGTACGTATAAACATTTGTTTATTAACGTGTTCGCACCTTAAAAGCAAATATTCGCACTCATTTAGTGTGAACCTCGAAAGCGACTCTATTCACTTTCTCTTTACCTATTTCGTCAGCCACACATATTGCTTCTCTCATCTTTTTGAATTCACATTGTCTTAAAACACTAATTCACACACAAATTACTTGATTACATGTATGGCATGATACTAAATACGTGAGCGGGATATGAGAGTAGCGAACAAGATAGGAGGTAGGCGAGTGAGATTTGTCTATATATCTCACATACATGCGAATCCACTTGGATACAATATATCTAGAATAAATTACATTTAATTTTGATATCATCTATATGAATGTATTTGGACGTATCAAAATTTGATAAGATTCGCAATATTATATTTGCATTTGTATAAGTAATTAACTTCTAAACTAGTGAAATTTTTGTATGTGAAAAAAACCCAAAGAATATGTTTTTGATTGTGCGAAAAGGTTTAAATATAGTAGTATTTATTTTGTTAAAAAAGTAATTAGTATTAATTTTTAGTTACATTTTTGGTTCATTTATGCCCAACTGATGGTTAATAATGAATTTATTTTTAAAAAAATATTTCAAATTCACTTATTATTATGGTGACAAATTATGTTTCAAACATGTTGGGGTAAGTTATATAAAATTATAAAATTTTATTCAATTCATTTCACTAAAATTAATAAATCCTAACAAACATTTAATCAAAAGTAAACGAATTAACATGACTATTTCAACTATGTAACTATTGTCTGCGTAGGTTTTTAAAAATTATTTTTCACTAATTCTACCTCATAATTCAAAGAAATTATAGTTCTTCAATTACGAGACAATTATTTTTTCTTATAATTTTAGGATTATTTCGATTCTCTTCAACCCATTCAAAGTTGGAAAAAATAAAAAGACTTTTCTCTTTTACTTTTTCTTTCTTTTCTTTTACTAATTTCTATACAACAAAACACTCCTACATAGACAACCCAAAAAAAGGGCACGAAATTACACCAATTTTACTAAATATCAGTATTAGAAGTAAAAATTAATTTATAATTGAACATTCTGTTTAGGGTAGTTAAAATTAGTCAAGCTATACTTAGATTAACCTAACCAAACTTTGATCAGTTAGGTAAGTGGATACTATTAAGAGCAGGTACTCAGTAACAATAAACTATACTCAAATTAAAGTTTGACTTAAAATGGCTCATAGCAAAATGACAGCAGAGCTATTAAAATATATTCAAATCCATCATTTATTTTATTAATTAAAATAATAATGGTTAGTTAAAGTCTCAAGTTAGGATTTCATCAATTTTAATTTAATCATTATAGACAATGATGTATTTATGTAATAATTGAAAACAGAGAAGCAAATGAAATAGTAGCTAAATTTCCATATAAATTGTTGAGCAATCTAGAATGTCAAAGTAAGACTTCCAAAACCAAATGAGAATAGTCAAAACATTAGCCTAATTTTAAAAATAAAAATCATATAATTGACCAACATCAGCTTATAATTGTTATCCGTAAAGGTGATTGAGTTGGTGCAACATGTGATATCTCGTAAAAGCGGTTAGAGATTGATTTTCGTGTGAAAGCATTGTAGTTGAGTCGTCACACCGAATTCATCTAGTGTAATTTATATATCCTGTGTGATTTGTGACATGAGAGTAGATTTACTCAATGCGCATCTGAAAAATTTCGAATCAATATAATTATAAAGAGTTACGTGTAATAACCTTTTAAGCCATCGTAAATATGTTTTATAGCGACAAAGTATATAAATTATCAAATTTTCACAATTGTACTAAATTATCTTTAATTGTTTTCAAATGAATGAGAGAACTATATAATATATTTTCTGCGCATAAATAATTTTCTAGAAAAACAACTAATTGCAATAATCATGGCTGTCGTGCATAAATGAAAAATAAATAAATAAACAATGACTGACCAAAACCTACGACTCAATCAAACCATTTCTAAATGACGTCTGACTATTCACTCCATTTTATTTTATACCTTTACATCTATATTAAAAATAAAAATAATATATATATATATATATATATATATATATATTATTTTAAAAAAAGAAGAGTTTTACAATTTTTCTTTCATATTACTATATGTATTAAATAATTATAAAAATAATATTAGTCAAATTTAAAATTATATAATATCATTAATAAAATTAGTTTAATAAATACATTTCTATTTTTTTTAAGTGTATCAAATAACAAGTGTCAAATAATATAAAATGGATGGAGTGTTTATTCAAATTTACTTTTGATGGAAACAAAGTTGATTCAAGTCCCGTGTGTGACTTTGGTTTAACAAAATTTAAGGTTTTCTTTTGTGGTCCTAATCAACTTTGATCATAATTTTTTTTTATAAAAAAAATATTTATTTTGCCGCTGTGGTAAACTCAGTCCAGATTCAAACTTCTTCATTTTTGTTTTTGTCAAAAGAAATCCTCAATCGATTTCGAACGTGTACATGTAATCTAAACCTCGTGTCAATATTATTATAGCCCTAATCACACAAAAAAATATAAATCACATTAAATAAGTATCGTGTAACGAGCTCGATCAAGAAAACATATAAAATTTTTGAATCTTAATTACCTGCTAATTATCCTTACTGTTCAAAACCCTTCATATGTATGGATGAATGCATATATAATATTTGCTATGTATACTGTGTTAAAGCATTTTTATACTAGTATATATAAAACTTACACGCAAGTCTTTCCAATCTACGTTTTATATATTTGTCAATCAAGGATGAAGTTATGATTAACTTGATTAAACCTGATATTTACCAAACAAAAGTTAATTAGAAGTTGGATTAATTAATAAATAAAAAAAATCTCAAATGGATCCTATGAGTTTTGTTTTGACCTTTATCTTCTTAACTTTTTAATAATAATAGTTATTTTTGTCGTTAGCGATCTAAACATCTTCTAATTAATGATTCTCCACCTAGTTTGAAAGCGTCATTGGCAAATGACAACGATGATTTGGGTTCAAGTTCAATCATTTTGGACTTTTAAATTTAATTTTGAATTTAATTAACAAGTCTCATAATTAAACAGTTGATAGATGGACATAAAACTATAATCTCATTTTTGTATAGCTAAGAAGAATATTTGTGCCAGTTGAGAATAGTAATTTTTTTATTTAAAAAAAAAAAAAGACACTCATATTTGACTTTTACCGAATTCTGTCTTTATCAATTCCCACAGCAACTTTCAAAATTAAATATATTTGGACTTCATCAAGATAATATTAATTTGTAGTAGTATAATTTGACAATTTGTACGTGTTTATTATATCAGACAAGTCATATGATTGTCCTGTTATTTTTTACTTAATTAGACACATAATTGTCCATGCTTAATAAATTCAAATGTTGATTGAAAAGCTTAAGAGAAAGAAGAAGAAAAAAAGAAAAAATTGTATGATTTTAAATTTTTTCATAATTGATTAATAAAAAATATAATAATTTTTTAAAGGAGTATGTGGCATTTAAAGTCCATTATCTTCTCTCATATCTGACATTTCAAGAGCTACGCAATGCATAATTTATGTATTCACACCTGATTTGCCTAACGGATTAGTCATAATTCAATAGCTTTAGTCTTCGGCGCAAACTTATATTTGTGTTTTAGAAAAATAACTTAATATATGCATAAATAAATTATCAAAAACACAATAATATTCTTTTTCTAAAAATCTCAAAATCCTAGCTTCATCTCTAGAGTGCATTCTAAGAGTATGCCATGTAATTACTTGTTAACAATCTACTATGACACAAACATTATTAGTGATTAGTTTCTTGACTTAAACTCGTAATTCATATAAATTACACAAAAATAACTTTACCATTACTCTAAAACACCCCGTGTAATCATGAAACTATCACAATAAAAAATCTTTATAGCTTTCTCTTGGTGAAAAAGAATGACAAATAAAAGGTAT